AAATTGAGTTATTTTATTTGAAAAATATTCAGTGGCTATTTTCACTGAATTAGTGAGAAAAAAATGTTCTGTGGCTATTAGACTATTTTTATTATTTAATTGAGAATTTATTTTTCATCATGCATTTTTCAGTGAGTTAGTTCGGTGGAAATGAAATAAAAAGATGATATTTTATAACATAAATTTTCTATTAATTCACTATGAAAAATCCTTTATTTCTAGCTAGGGAGAGCTAGTTAGTTTGGGGTACTTGGTGATTTTATATATATATATATATATATTCTCTTATTATATAAGAGGGAGTTCGTGCGAAGCATGTACGTCTTTGTCGATGTGTCTGCTTCAGCATTTTTCGATTTTTTTTTTAAAACTTTATTTCTTTTATTCTACTTTAATTTAATTAGTATATAATTTTTTTGAAATTATGAAATCCTTTCAGCTATGACTTTTAGTTTTAAATTCAAGATTTCACGCTGAAGCAGACACGTCAACAAAGACGTGTCTGCTTCAGTGTGTTTTGGATTTTATTTTAAAAAAAAATTACTTCTTTTGTTCTACTTTAATTAATTAGTGTATCATTTTTTCGAAATTATGGAATCCATTTTAGCTATGACTTTTAGTTTAAAATTCACATTATTCAGTTATTGCTTTATTATTTTGAATGTCGGTAATATTTGTTTATATCTTGTAACGATTTTGAGTAAAAAATCAATGATCGATGACGAAAAATACTTTAATTATAAACATCTTAGTGGACCTCTTCACAATAAATTTGCGCAAACAAAAAGTAATTAACCACTTAAATATCCAAAAATCATACTAAATCTAATCAACTTTCTAAAATCTACCTATATCACATAAATTAAAATAAAAAAATACTAAGATATTGAGCCCGTCCTAACACGAACACCTGTGTCTAGTATATATATAAATAGAACTTAGAGGTGATGAATGTTGTGTGCGCGAAGACAGTCTTACCTTAATAATTGAAATTAATGAAGAAGAAGCAACATATAAGTGTGTAGGGATATATTATTTTTAGTAGTGTGAGAATTTTTGTGGAAAATGGACACAATCACACCGAGTTTTAAGGTAAGGATCAAACCTTCATTAATATACCAAAAATTATAACTAATAATAAGGACATAATTGTGTTCTTTATTTAAACCCACCAAACAATATTACAATAATATCTCGTACCTTAGCTCTACAAAAATATCAACAACTATCTCCATTAATTTTTCGGCAGCAAATAACAATAGTTCGGTAAACACTATGGTTCCTGTAACTGTCCTTTTAAATTGATAAATGATTAAAAATATATATATTAATTTTTATATTTAGTAATACTAGTAACTTTTTAATTACACATCTTACGTAGCATATTTAAAATCTTACAATTCAAAAGATATTTTCATGAACTATAGCATACTGCATACATATTAAGTTTAATAACCACAAAATTCTAAAAATTCTTTCTTTATTAAACACCGCAAAAGAAATAGAGGGAGTATAAAACTATGTCTTTTCATAATCCAAAAGAAATAAGAAAGTTTATTTAGTAGATTCAAATTATACAAGGAACATTATTATCATTTCTATGCTTCTAACTGGCTTTCATTGATCATAGTTATAATTATTAGTATTTTTTTATTAAAGTTTGACATATACCAAATTTTGTACATGATCATTATTGTTGTACAAAATTTGTAATTAAAGTTCGGCATATACCAAATTTTATACATGATCATTATTGTTGTATAAAATTTGTACTTAAAGTTTGGCGTACCAGACTTTGTACATGATCACTGCAATAAGACTATTCTTCAATCTCTTATTTTCCTTTGCTTTCGGACTTAGCGGACGCTTGAATTGACTTTTTTTTAAGTAGCTTATAAGTTAAAATTTTAAAATCCGAAAATACTCAATTTTTACTTTTAGCTTATTTTTATATATATATTTTAACCAAAAATCTAATAATTTCAAACAATATTAAGAAAAAAGAAAAATCTTAAAAATCAAAAGCTGCTTAAAATAAGTTAATCTAAACACGTTTTGTTTTTTCTTTTTCATTCTAAAAAAGAGCAAGTCTAATAGCGAAAAGGAAACAGTTGGTGAAACACATTAGTTGGTCTGTCATTATTGTTTTCTGCAAGAAATGCAGAAACATAATTCCCCAGCAATCAAACCTTTTCCCTTTGGTAGTTGAGAATAATAAATGTTTTTTCTTACTCCCTCCGTCCACAATTGTTTGTCAGGGTAAGGTCATGCACATCCCTTAAGGAAAATTTAATACAAGGTGTAATTTGACTAATATAACCCTACTATACCAAGAATACCAAAAGTCCACTTAACTTTTCAATTGAACTACACTATCATTAAGGGCAGAATTGGAAAAAATTGACTAATTATTTCTTGATTGTTTAAATTGACAATTAATCTTGGACATCTATTTTTAGTATACCTGCCAAACAATTGTGGACGGAGGGAGTAAGAAAAAACATTTATTATTCTCAACTACCAAAGGGAAAAGGTTTGATTGCTGGGGAATTATGTTTCTGCATTTCTTGCAGAAAACAATAATGACAGACCAACTAATGTGTTTCACCAACTGTTTCCTTTTCGCTATTAGACTTGCTCTTTTTTAGAATGAAAAAGAAAAAACAAAACGTGTTTAGATTAACTTATTTTAAGCAGCTTTTGATTTTTAAGATTTTTCTTTTTTCTTAATATTGTTTGAAATTATTAGATTTTTGGTTAAAATATATATATAAAAATAAGCTAAAAGTAAAAATTGAGTATTTTCGGATTTTAAAATTTTAACTTATAAGCTACTTAAAAAAAAGTCAATTCAAGCGTCCGCTAAGTCCGAAAGCAAAGGAAAATAAGAGATTTTCCTAAAATAGGTGGTTAAATTCAAATAAACCCTTTTCCCTTTGGTACTACTCCCTACTATAAATGGATAGTCTGAAATATGTATAGTTATTTTAGAAAATTAAGGTATAATTAACTATTCATTCCATCATTTTTATCAATTTATTTTTAAAAAAATAGAATTCATATCGGTTTTTTATTAAAAGATAAAGAACATCACAGACATGTACAAGCAAGGGAGGCTAGATCTACTTTACCAATCCTACTAGTCCATTTTAAACTTTGCACGTCATTATTTATAAAATAATATTTAATAGTTGGATTCCAAATTTTATATTTGTACCTATTTAGAAAATTTATTAAAACAAATATACTATTTAAACAAAACCTATTGAATTCAATCCAACACATGTTTTGTGGGGTTTGATTACAAATTTTAATCTCCACGCACTTCAATTTTGGCTTAACAGGCGCTTGTCACATTATAGTGTTATAAACAGAATTTAAACTCTTTTAATATATTCTATGGTATCCAGTTTATAGGGGACACTTATTTTTAATTTGTTGAAAAGAGAGATATACTTATAAATTTGGAGATAATCAACTTATACATATCCCATTTTATTCTTAATAAAAAATTTTAATCAGATAAATATTATAACATGATTGGAATCACGGGTTCTAAAGTTTTATTATTATATTTATATGTTTCAAAAGTTTCATTTATTTTTTTAAAGCTCTTAAGGAATTTGACCTATTACGTTCTATTCCTATTCTTTTCCAAATTACAAAAATCCTTTAAATTTAGTGAAATTTGGAAACATCCCAATACATTGCGTTCCGATTTCGAATACATTCCTCAATGTCTTGATATATCGCGTTTCAATTTCGAATACATCACTCAACGTCCCAATACATCACGTAAAGCAGGGGCGGACCCACGTGGTCTCCAGGGGTACATCCGAATACCCTCAGTAAAACATTACACTCTATCTATCTATCTATATATATATATATATATATATATATATATATATGTAAGGTAAATTTTCTAAATTTACGTAGATATAATAATTTTGAACCCCTCATGAACAAGAAGTTGTAGTGTTGTGGTAGAACTCCTTTTAGATGACCCTCACGGTTCAGGGTTCAAATCCCATTATACACTAATCTTTCACTCTTTTTTTTAAAAGAGTAGATTTAAACCCAGAAAATTCAAGCGTGCTAAAATATATCTGCTAACGGAACTAACTTTTTGTACTTATAAACTATTATATTTTATTGACTCGTTCACATGTTTATATTTTTATTTTTCGAACCCCTGAATGAAAATTTTGAATCTTGCCACTGATGTAAAGTGATATGTCCGACCGATAAACCGTGTAAGTGATGTATCCGACCAATACATCGCGTAAAGTGATGTATCAGAGAATAGGAGAGAGTTGAAATTTTTGTAATTTTTTCAAACAATAATTTTTTTTAGAAAATATGATAAAATAAGTTATTTATTTAGATATTTTTTCCAAAATTAAAACGCTCAAATTAACTTATAATATACCAAGTTCATGTGAGTAATCCCCTCCCCCTCCCCCTGTTTTTTTTGGCCCAGGTGCCGTACAAATTCGTTTTGCTACACGTGCCTATGTCCATGGGAGAGTACTTACCTTAATTTAAAGTGATGGCAAGACCTTAAAAAACTTTAAAAAAATTCAAGTGATGAACCCCTTTTAGCTACATGTGCTTATCGATCCTAGGGACGCTTAGGGGTAAAAGGCATTAATTGGACGGACTATCTTAACTATTATATGTGTCTCAATTTATATAACATAATTCAAAGTTTAAAAATTAAACTTTTTAATTTTAATTGTAAATTTAGATATACAATTTATATATTTTTGGAAACTATGTAAAAAATGCTTATGTTTACTTTTACTCTATTAGTCAATTTTGTTTTTCGAAAGTCAAATCGTATGAATTTTGACTAATATTTTAAAATGTATTATTATCATATTAATATGAGAAATATTATAACTGATACTCAGGGGCGGAGCCAATATATTCTTAGGGTGTTCATTCGACGGAAAATATTAAATGAAAAGACAGCAAAGCAAGTGGAGTATGCCTGCCTCTATAATAGAGTTCTATATAAGGAGAGGACTTTAGCTTTAAGAGGAGAGTGAGAGAACAAACTAAGCTGGTCAAAACTAAAAGCTTAATTTGCTAAAGCATGGCTTCTAAACCTGGCATTCTCACTGAATGGCCATGGACTTGCCTTGGAAACTTCAAGGTACTATACTATACTTTTCCCCCCCTTATAATATATAGTACATTTTTGCACTTAATTAAACATCATGAAGTTCTAATTAATTATATTATTGTTTCTTGAAATGAATTAGTACTTGGTATTGGCACCATTTGTGTGTCATAGCACATACACATATTTTATGAGCAAAGATGAAAGGCAGAGAGACATTGTATACATAATCATTCTCCCACTTTTACTCTCGAGAATCATTCACAACCAGATATGGATATCTCTATCCCGATACAGAACTGCAAAGGGTAATAATCGAATTGTCGATAAGAGCATCGAGTTTGATCAAGTTGACAGAGAGAGCAACTGGTACGTACTTTCTATAATTTGAACAGAAGAAAATGATTTTTTTTGTTATAGTTTCTAGAGAAACTATATATTGATGTGATTGATAAGATCGAAGTCATTTTTTAATTTTGGAAAGGTTTTAGTCTGAGTATAAGGGATGAGGCTCCTCTATTACTCATTCTCTCTATTTTCCCAACTACCTACTCGGATGGAAGTCATGTGTCATAATTAAAAATTAAAGGTTGACATTTAATTACCTAAATCAAGGTCCTAACTATGATTAGAATAACAAATAATTTTTTATAATATTTCCTAATTAATGTCAATCTCATAATTCTAGCTAAAAATGATCTCAATTCATAAATAAATCTAAAATTTCTCTCTTTTTTAAAAACGATTTTTTTCTTTTTTTTATTACGAAAAAATCTTTTTCTATTTTGTTCTAATTTTTTTTTTGCAGTTTTGAGTTATTGAAAGATATAAAAAAACTAACATCATCCATTCTTTTTTCAAAAAAATTAAAATTTGTAAATTTTTAATTTTTTTTTAACATTATATGTTGATTAGTTTTCTAACGGTTTCCCGTAAGGCCTAAGCATTAGATGACTTTCTCTAATGTTTGATGGAAATGTAAAGAAGAGCAAGAAAAAAATTAAAGAATTCCTACGTGATCAAAAAAAGAGGACAAGAAAAATATCTTTTTTTTAAAAAAAGAAAAAAAGAAGAGTTCACATCAAATGGAAAATAGTGATTTTTTGAAATGCCTTCTGAGATAATTTTTAGTTAGAAATATAAATTTGATGTTTTTTAATCGGACTTAGAGGGAATAAGGAGAAAATGGGAGGAATAATAGGACTATTTTTAATTGAGATGATAATATATTTATTATCTAAACCATGATTAAGGATATATTTTAATTAATTAAATCTTAGCCATTAAATTTAATCTATGTCATATGTCATTAATCAAGACTAAAACTTGGGGAAAATGGAGACAAGGGAAATGGAGAGGAGCCGGATCCGAGTATAAGCCTTAATTTAGTTGTACAATCCGGAATTTCTTACTTGGTAGGTGAAAACCTAAACCAAGTAGGAGAATTTATTAGGTTCTCTTGGACCTAGATTATGGATCAAATTTTAAAAAAATATTTTCAAATATCTATTTATCCATGATATTTGATAAAATTTTGAAAATCTGATCTTCAGATAATTTTTAAGTTCTTGAAAATAGGCACTCTAGTTTTTGGTTTTTTTTACTTCTACAAAATTCTAAATACATATTTTCCAACTAAAATACATATCCAGACACAACTTACGCTAAAAGGTTGACTTATAATTAATGTTAAATTATATTTGTAGGGATGATCAGATCATATTTAATGGACTGTTATACTATATTGGATACCTGATGCTGGAACAAGCTCATCACATGCCTGTGTGGAGAACTGATGGGATCATTATAATTGGCTTGCTTCATAGTGGTCCTGTCGAGTTCCTTTATTATTGGCTTCATAGGGCTCTGCATCATCATTTTCTCTACTCTCGTTATCATTCTCATCATCACTCCTCTATTGCTACTGAGCCCATCACTTGTAAGTTCATTATCTTAAAATATGCTAATTCTGAACTATCACTTTTTTGCGAGTAATTTCATATTTCAAAACTATTGATTGTTCTTTTTATCTGAACTATCACCATGGCGAATCCATGTTTACTAGAAGATGCACCACTTAAATATATATATATTTAGTGGGAGTTGCTCCCTAGTTATTTAGGTGTGCACGGTCTAATCTTCTTGTAGCATAGGTGCCACCAGATAATATTATACTAATTTTAGAAAATATATATACATAAAATGTCTAGTTTTACTAAGAGATAATGGGTTCACGTGCCCCAATTTTAGCCTATAAATTCGCCCATGATTTGTTCCTTTTTCATATCTGAAGTTTTGAACGATGATGTCGGTTTAGGTAGAAAAAGAGAACAACTGATAGTTGAGATATGAAACTCGGGGAAAAACGATTGTTCAAATGTGTTTTTAACTATTGACTATTTTATTAAATTTATCCATTCGTGAGGACTCATTGTACATTTTTTTGTTGGTGGTATTTTTGCAGCTGTGATTCATCCATTTGCTGAGCATTTATCATATTTCACACTCTTTTCCATACCCTTGTTCACAACTGTATTCACTGGGACTGCTTCTATAGCTTCATTTGGTGCTTATGTTACCTATATTGATTTTATGAACAACATGGGCCATTGCAATTTTGAGCTAATTCCTAAGTGGATCTTCTCTATATTTCCCCCTCTCAAGTACTTCATGTATACGCCCTCGTAAGTCTTCTCTATCGCCCTTTATTTCAATAAGCTTAATTTTACTCAAAATAATTTATGCCCGGTAAAAATGGTAACTAACCTAAATAAAAGCGCATCTTAAAAGCCAAAAGGTTCAAAATGCAGAGTCCCTGCTTCTGAATCACAATATTTACATGCCTAACTACCTCATTAACTAGGGGGACCGAACCATATAGTACATTTTATATCTTAGAAAGTTTTTAACCACACAAAGATATACTCCACACACAGTTTTTAACCGCTTTCAAAACTTTACTCTCGTGTCTCAATTAAGATGATGTTATTTGATTTGACACGGTGTTTAAGAAAGAAAGAAAAATAGTTGGTTTAATCTTTTGCCTCTATGGTACAGGTACCACTCACTACATCACACTCAATTCAGGACAAATTTTTCTCTTTTCATGCCAATGTATGACTATATCTACGATACATTGGACAAGTCCTCAGACACATTGTATGAGAAGTCACTTAAAAGAGAAGCTGAAGTGCCTGATGTGGTGCACCTAACACATCTAACGACTCCAGAATCCATTTACCACCTTCGACTAGGATTTGCATCGTTGGCCTCGAACCCTCACACCTCTAGGTGGTATTTTTGGTTAATGTGGCCCGTCACACTATGGTCAATAATGATTACTTGGATTTATGGTTGTACATTTGTTGTTGAGAGAAATATGTTCAAGAATATCAAATTACAAACTTGGGCTATCCCAAAGTATCGCGTACATGTAAGTAATCTATATTATTCACGATTGTTAAAGCGATTATCTGATATGACTATTGATTTTGTTGTAGTACTTTATGAAATGGCAAAGAGAGACTATCAACAACTTGATTGAGGAATCCATTATGGAAGCAGATCAGAAAGGCATAAAAGTTTTGAGCCTTGGACTCTTAAATCAGGCAAGTCCAGAGTATATGTGCTATTTTCCTTTTTTTTTTACAAATTGCTTTGAAATGTTTGCCGAGGATCTATCAGAAACAACCTCTCTATCTCCTCTGCACCCTATTGATATATACTTATACAAAAATGTAACCTTATAGGAAGAGAAGTTGAATAGTAATGGTGAACTTTACCTAAAAAGGCATCCTCAGTTGAAAGTGAAGGTGGTTGATGGAAGTAGCCTAGCTGTCGCCGTGGTTCTCAACTCCATTCCTAAAGGATCATCTCACGTTGTCCTTCGAGGTCGTTTGTCCAAAGTTGCTTACTCCATTGCCCTTGCCTTGTGCCAAAGAGGAATTCAGGTATATTTGATTATATTTTTGTTTTTCCATTGTCTCGTTCATTATTGTGTACTAATTTTCTTTTTTTAATATACATAGGTTGCCACGTTACACGAAGAAGAGTACAAGAGACTTAATGCAAACCTTACCCGTGAAGCTGCAACTAATTTGGTCCTGTCGAAATCTTATGTTTCAAAGGTACGTATTCAACCAAAGCAACATCGAAATATATATACTGTCCTGATCAAATCTTGATTATTCATAACAAAATCGCGAAAAAAGTTGTTGATTGAGACATTATACTATAGACATGGCTAGTAGGGGATGGATTGAGTGAAGATGAACAATTGAAAGCGCCAAAAGGAACATTATTCATTCCTTATTCACAATTCCCACCAAGAAAAGCTCGCAAGGATTGCTTCTACTTCAACACACCAGCTATGATTACTCCTAAACATCTTGAAAATGTAGACTCTTGTGAGGTAATTAGAAAATAATATTAATTTTTCGATGGTATTATTCGATATTGTTTAATAATAGTAACATTACTATACAATAATAATTGTAGAATTGGCTTCCAAGAAGAGTGATGAGTGCATGGAGAATAGCTGGGATTTTGCATGCATTGGAAGGTTGGAATGAGAATGAGTGTGGTGACATGATGTTTGATATTGACAAAGTATGGAAAGCCAGTGTTGATCATGGTTTTCGCCCGTTAACATTAGTGACTACTTCTACGGATCAATCCAAGAACTAGAAGTATGGATTAATGTCTTTGTTATAAGTATTATATATTGGATCAGCTAATTAATTACAAGTTTGCATTACGTGATATAATTTCCAGAGTTGTGTATGCATCATATAATTAAGATGTAATATGAACCAAATTGGAGCATATTGAACGATGATTTATATATATATATATATATATATATAACCCATAATCACTTTTTTATAAATTATTTAATTTATATTAAGTGTTAATGAGCTTCAGACTAAGTTTATCAAGAGGGTTGTCAATGATTTGTTAAATACTTGTTAATAAATTTTCTCAAGTTTTCTTTGAATATGGATAAGCAATTTGCACACTGGAAGCAGTTATGACAAATAGTTAAGAGTGTCACTAATTATATAACAGTCAATGTAGGTGGCCACAGTTTCTAAACTGTATACTAATGAAGTTTCCTAGAGCTGGGAGGGTCACAACTTCTTTACTTGAAATTAGGCATTTCCATGGTATGTCCGAAATTGATCTTGACAAGTCATTATATATTTGAAGTCATGACAAGTCTACAATTTCAGTAACACACAAAAAAAGTCTGAGTTTGACTTATCAAGTACGCAACTATATTTTAAAATGTCTGAAGCTGACATTGACAAGTGATACTAAACTTCAGGCAAAAATGTCTAATGTTTGGCTTTGTCAAATCCACACTTTAAGCAAAAAATATCTAAAATTGGTCTTGACAAGCCATATCAAACTTTAGACAAAAACGTTTAAGGATAGCCTTAAATTCATAAGGCCACACTTCAAACAAAAGTGTCTGAAGTTTGTCAAACTTCATACATGAATTTCGCTATTTCAATCGAGAATGTCTCGTGCCTGAAGTAAACTCATAAGTTTTTTTTTTTTTTAAAGTTTGGATACAAATTAAATAGGGAAACTTACATAGATATGCGATATTACTAAAATATTAATATCTAATAGCAATAAGATTTCTCGTCACTTAACATTTAAGTATAATACAGATTATAAAGAAAAAATTTATAAAAAAACACACAAATTTTATTGATGGATAATACATTTATCATATACTTGTAGAGTTATAGTATATCGTGTTAACAGGCAAACACGGAAGGATGACCCACGGAAGTCTACTGGTGACTGGGCTACTATCCATGAAAAGCCCAATTCTTTATTATTTGTATTTATATTACTTGTCCTTATTGGATCGACACATCTTTTTTAAAGTATTAATTAAATATATATTTTACTAAATTAATTTTATTAATAATATTTTAAAATTTTAAATTTGATTATTACTATTTTATGTAGTTATTTAATGCTGCTACTAATAATTCTAAATTTTTCTTGATTTACTAAAATAGAAAAGTAAAATGAAATATTTCTTTTTAATATAGGAGCCAAGTAAAATAAAATAAAGAGTATAACGCAACAAACTCAATGATCAAAATGCTACTCCCTCGAACCACTTTACTTATCATCCTTAATAAAAATAGGTAATCCATAATATATGTCATTTAAGAAATCAGGATATGATTAGTCGTTTGTTTTCATCTTTACCTTTAGTCATAAACTAGTGAATTTGTCTGCGCTTCGCGTGGTGTAATAAATATAGTTAAATTTATTATACCCTCTTTTAACGAAAATAAGATAAACTTTAAACGATATATATTTAGGTTAATTAGTAAATGTGAATTATTTAAAAGATATATTATGAAATATGTAGTGTATGAGCATTTTTATTACATTTACCTTTGATTCCTTTCTTAATTGTTTGCTGTAAAATCTATTTGAGCTAGAAAGATGTGAATAAGCTTACATCATTACACCTGCATAAACATTTTTCTTAGAATTTTTTAAAAAAAAAACCAAATGGGCTCTACAATACTTGATTTGAATTATTCAAACTTCAATATAGGTATCAAACAAAAAAAAAAACCATATAAATTACCAAAAGAAAAAGAAAACGAAAAAAAAGTAATAACCAAGCTAAATTTCCAATAAAATAAAATAAAAATATCCTTTATCTTTTGCCGGTAATAGGTACTACATCACTCTTCCATGAACGAATTTGGGATAAAGGTCTAAAAAATATCCCAACTTTGGTCGGATTTGTTGTTGCAATACTAAACTTTCATGAGGACCTATTACCTCCCTAGACTATTTAATACCGTATTTTAAACATATATATTTGCCCACGTGGACATAAAAAATAATGCAAAATCATAAATAATAATGTGTCCATGTGGGCACATATATACCTTTAAAATACACTATTAAATAGTTCAGGGGGTAAAAATTACGGTATTAAATAGTCTAGAGAGGTAATAGGTCCTTATGAAAGTTTAGTATCGCAACAACAAATTCGACCAAAGTTGGGGTATTTTTTAGACCCTTATCCCAACGAATTTTATGCAAATTATAATCATTAATGAATTTACCAAATAAAATTTGTGTGATAACAAAATGAATTTATTCATCAAATTATTCTAGAATTAAAAAAATAATATTTTATTATAATTTCTTTGTTATATAATACTACACATAATATTGATAAATTTGTGAAGTATAATGTCTTCAAATTTTAGACTTCAAATCTTTACTAATATTTTTTAAATGTGTTCAATCATATCTTTTATTTATTTTGTTATATAATGCTATATATAAAGTATTTATCAATTTTGTAAAGTATATTTTGTGAAAATTGAGTCGTTACTGATATATTTGTATGAATTTTATATACATGAAATAAACTAAAAAAGGAAATAGAATAAAAAGGAAATAAAACAATCAAATTTTCAATTTTTCGGTAGTCCTTTTTTTCTTTTTCTTTTAAGCCTCTTTTTCATTTTAGTTTTTTTTCTTATTTTAATACGTGTTTTTTGCTTTTCTTAATTCAACTTGTATTTTTAAAATTTTTGCTCAAATCTGATGCCATTTTCTTTCCTTTTCTCCTCATAATGAATTAAAATTAAAATATCCTCTTTTTTTATTTGTTTTTAAAATACTATCTCCTACTATTTAAGTAATTTATTATTATTCTCTGCACATTTAGGGAGACTATATATGGAACATATTAAAATTTATATAGAACAAAATATAAATTTAGGGAGATCATATATGGAGCATATTAAGACTTATATATGGAACAAAATAAATGAATCATTCTTTGTATATTGAACTTTAATTTTGGCAATATTATATATATGAAGTTTTTTTTTTTGATATCTCTATTTTTCTTATCCCTCTCTGTTTCTTTTCATTTTTCTTTCTCTCCTTGATTACTCTACATATTTTCTTTTTGTCTCTTCCTAATTTTATGCAAAATTCCTCAATATCAATACTTTCTTAAAATATTGTCACTTTTTCCCCATACAAATTCAAAGTATTTCAATGAAAAAAAAAGAACATAAGAAGAAAAATAATAACATTCATACAAGAGTTTGAGTTGGAAATTATACCTATCAAATTAACCGTATGTATATTTAGGCTAAAACTTCTTTAAAAGTTTCAATTCATGTCTCTTTTTTTCTTCTTGCTTCACTCTCGGATGTCAATCAAATTTTAAATGCTTAGCAGAAGCTTGGTGATTGCTTTTGTTATATCACATGAATGCTATTTGATATCTTAAAAGGTGATCAAGGAAGAGTTATTTATATAATATAATGTGTTGTTGATCCAACATTTCTACAAGAACACAAGATAATAGTAATGTTCATGCTTTGAGATTACAAAATAATCTTGAATTGTTATGATCTTTTTTCTTGGACTCATTCTTTTTTGTATATCTATTTCTTCAGATTTATATTGCATAAATTTCATATTGGTTCATTCAAAAATAGAGATATTAAATGCATATTGTATTTTGTTTATATAGTTGTCTTCAAATTTTAATGGTGTAGAAATCTTTCAAATTCTACAATTAAGTAATGTACAATTATGTCGTAATTGAAAGAGTTTATTGAAAAGATAAAAATGAAGAGTCTTTTATTACAAATGTAAGGATTAATCTTAACGTTGCATTTTTTTTAAGGTTTTAAATCAATTAAAACGGTTTTGACATTTGCTTACAACAATGGGATTTAACAATTTTTGAATTTTAAATCTTTTCTCTTTCCGATTTATCAATTGCAAGTTATTGAAAATGTATTTCTTCTTCATGTTCTTTCATCCATTTTTTTCCCACTTCATCATGTATCAATTTTTATTTTGATTTTGAGTTTTTAGTTTTTTCATACATATTTAGTCGAAGAATGATGCATCTTCAACTTCAAATTGATTGTGGAAAAACGTCCCAAAAAGGGGGAAAAGGTCGAGTTGTTGGTGGCTCTGGTAAGGGCTTTGGGTCGAGATCCATGGGTGACGCCATTGTTAAAAGTGAAAAAAGCTACGGAAGTTGATATTGAGCAAAAGAGAAAGTGTAGAAGGATTTCTTCATAATTTTTTGCTTTCAACAAATCAGATTGTTGACTTTTTTTTTGATATTTTTGTTCTTTTTTTTTTTATACATATGAATTCAATTTTTAATGTATCTAGTTGTTTTTGTTTCTTAAATTAATGTGTAATGCATTCCTTTCAACATTATGAAACATTACAATTTTGTATGTATCATGTTCGTAGTTATGTATTGGATACACAACTATTACAAAATTCGTTATCTTTTACTACTGATACATACACCTAGCCTTATTAAACTAATAGAAGACTATGTATATGTAGACACTATCATATATTACTGTTGATACATAAACACTAACGTTGTATAACAAAATCAGTTTGTATCATAGTCATAGTTATGTATATGACACGTAACTTTGTTATGTATCAAATGTTGTGATGTATCACATGTTGTTAAGTATCTGCAACACTATTTTATAAATATATATTTTATTTTATTTAGTTTGGTTTTGATAATTTTTAATTCAATTAAGTTAATTTGATTTTAATTTTAATCGATGATCGATCAAAACCGACCCGGGAAACCCCCTGTGCTGTCTTGTTACCTTTATTTAGCATATTGAAAAAACAACTTTATTTGTGATGTTAAGTTGACATCCTTTATTTGTGATGCTAAATTGACAG